GAAAGGAGCAGAAGGGATGGTGTGCCATTTCCAAATCTAGGCTTTTAGGAGCCTTGCATATTTTTCTTTATCCCCTTGTGTAACTGCTACTTCTTGGATCATGAGAAGAACCTAACCTGACTAGCTTGTGGGTTCAAGCAGGATAAGAGACATATGGAACAGAGCCTGCATAGACCAGCAATGAGAAGCTGAGCTGCCCCAGTCATTTCAGTCTAGATCAGCTGAGCCCCAGCTCACCCAGTTCATAGATCTGTGAGAATAAATGGTGTGTTCATTAGAGCCACTGAGCTTTGTAGTAGTTTATTGTGCTGATTTACTATGGTAATAATTAATTGATACACCTTAAAATTCAGTTTTAAAATGTGTTGGATATATATGACAAAATGTGTTGGTCACATCACCTTTCACTTTTAATTAACTGTAAAACTTCATCTGCACTGATTTTGTACTTAACTGAAAAGAATTGTATTTTTCTACACAAAATTTGCTACCCAAAAGTTTTCCCAAGAATTAACTTTATTTCAATTATATTAAATAACCAGAGATATTAATTTGGTCTTGAATAACAACAATTTGATAAGAAAATTGTAAACTGACATAGTGATAGCTAAAGGCCAGATATATTATTCCACTATCAATATTTTTATTTAATTAGAAGGATAAAAGACAATGCAAAGCTATCGATGAAATATAAATATTGGCAGAAGTTCTAAAATTATATGTTTGGAATTTGACTTTGAAGGATTTTTATAATTCAGAAATACCAGGTAGCTCTTAAGAGATGTTACTGGCAAAATCTTTGCAGAACAGGGTTGAAGGAAAAGAAGAAAACTGGTGAATGATACTTCTGAAATGTTTACTAATGTTCTTTTTTAGATGCTCCTAGAGCCTTCCCCTAACCTATCCATCCCCAAGCCTAGGGAAAGATTGTTACAGCTGAAAAGTAGAGATGAGGAATTTCTTAATTCCAAAATCCTTGGTCCTGGTGGGATTCAGGGCATAAAAAAAAAAAAAAAAAAATGTTGGGTGATGTACAAGTAACGTTTCCTGCTCAATGGAAAAGAAATTGGGAAAATAAGCAAAGTAATTTTTTACATACATATGGCCCTATCATGGGCTGAGATAAGTTAGGAGGATCTAAGAACAGAGATATGTGTACCTTCTGCTTCTGGGTAGGGCCCATGGAGGTAGCTACCTCCTGGAGTTTCTCTGTACCATGGCATGGTGTTTGTTCTGCTCTCTACACCACACTCACATGGGAGGCTCCATGATGCTGTGCCCTGCCTGCCAGTCAGATTCATCAGACTTGCACAGAGCCCCAAGAGAAGGACAGAAGTAGCAAAAGTGTCTCAAGCCTGAAGGGTCATGTGGAATAAGCATGAAGGACATTGTAGCAGTGTCTTGAATGAACCAATGACCAAGGACAGAATGATGTACCTATCAGCAAATCCAAGATACACACCACCACCAAAAAAAGCCTCTTTTCAATAGATCCACCCAGGGATTTCTTGGCAATTCAGAGTCTCTGGAATGTAGAGCTGCAATAACAACAAAATGGAAGAATCTAGGAATTGACTGAGATGAAGGTTCTGCCACCTGAAGGAATGGGAGGTTGCAAAAGAAATTAAATTCAGTTACAGAAAAAGAGAAAGTTACATCTCACAAGGAACTTCAATAGTATCTATAATGTTTTCCACTTTTAAAAATTCTGAAGCAAATAAATCAAAATTATTATTTGAGTAAGCTTGATGGCAGGTGTTCATTATACTATTTGCTGTATCTTAGATGGTAAACTCTTTTACAATAAAAACACTTTAAAGTAAAATATATTTCTTCTAATCCTGAATCTGTGGACTGAAATTTGTACCTTTAATTCTTATCTGTTATGAGCTAGGCAGTATCTTCAGTACTTTAAATGTATCACCTCATTAAATGTTCACAGCATCCCCATTGGGTAGATATAAACTATATTTTTAACTTTTCAAATGTAAAAAGTGGAGCTAATTTTTAAAAACAGCATGAAAAGAATACTTTCTTAGCCACCTTGTTCAGAAAGATTTTTAAAATATAGAAATAGTTGTTGATTTTTTTTAGGAAAATATATATTTTTTAAAACATTTCAAATACTCAAAATGGAAAAGCTCAAACCAAGGAAGATTCCAGTGGGGCTTTCAAGCCAGAACAGAAATACGAAGGGATCAGGTGATAATGCAAGTCTTAATCTAGAAAGCAGTATCTTTTCATGTATAAAATGGAAGATATGGAAGAAGTATGGTAGGTATGGGAAGCAGGCTGGAATGGAAGTGAATAGGGGTGACCAGGGGAAGGTGTGTGAGGTGATGATGGTGATAATTAGGGCAAATATTCAGCTGAACACACAGATTGTAAAAATACTGACATTTGTGTACTTGCATGTAAACCAGTCACTCTCTGAAGTTCTCCCCATCTCCTCCCCTCTCACCCTTCCCCGAAGGGCCCCACCCTCCCAAAGAGCCAGCAACTAGCCAGAAGGACTCTAAGGCACAGCTCCAGAACTGGGACCCAAGTCTGGAATGGCTGCTGGGTGCCTCTGTCAGACTGGTTATTATTTTTTATAGTATATTTAGTAATAACCCTATTGATAATCTAAGCTAAACTCCCTTTTCTGAACTCATTGACAAAGCACATTTGGGCAGTCTCAGACTTCCAAGTGTTGGGAAGTGCTGGAAGAACGCCTGCTTCTTAAAACGATACCATTTTAAGTGATCAAACCTTAGATTCCTAATCCTAAAGTGGGAGTTAGATGGAACCACCTAAAAGTATGAGGAGGACCTAGGGTGGTAGAAAGTGAAAAGGAAGCTATGCCATGGGGTAAGGCGTGCTTGAGAAGATGAAAGAATACAAAAGGCAACTAACTTCACAATCTCACTGGACTTACATAAGGATCTCATGCCCTGTAAATTGTTAACAGGTGCTAGTATTTATCAACTTTAAAATGTTTCATTACCCTACAAAACTCCTTAAGAACAAATAATATTCATGTATTTAAACTTCAGTTTTCTCATCTCTAAGATGGCTGGTTTCCACGATCTGTGTCCCTTTTAGCTCTATATTTTTAGTAACATATAATATGTGAGCTGACTTTTCAGGCTGCCTCTTAAAAAAAGAGGGCAAATGATTGCCATTTACCCATTTTTTTAGTAAATGATTTGGAGAAATTTATTAACTTGCCTCCAAGGCTAAAGTTATCTATGTGGGTATCAAAGAAAAAAACATTTTGTTTTCCTTATATCATCTATTCTTTTCAATTCTACTACTATGCTAACAATGTTCTTTATCTTTTCTTTATTTCTCATGAAGTTGGAGCCAATTCTCCAACTTGGCTATTATAACCACAATAAGATCTGTTTCTCTTTTGTGCCAGCTTCTTGTTGAGGCAGGTTAATGAAGATTTGTGGGTTTTACTCTCATTAGGAATTCATTTTGGCATTGACAACGCTTCACTGATCATTATGATTCCTTGTACTGCTGCTGATTCCACTTACACGTAGACTTCCCCAGTCAGGCTCCTTCCCCTCGTTTTAGTACTAGTTAAGCATTCACTCACAGGCCTCCCAGAAAGTCTGTTTCTTGCTGGAATGCAGGACATGCTCTCTCCCTGTTCCTGTTGACATTTTTCACAGTTAAGATTACTCATCACAGCTGAAGACTGAATAACAATAGATGGGAAACGGTTCCACATTTTTCCATAGAACATAACCCCAACTTCTTTGCAGCCCACATTTATGAAGGAAGGCGAGGAGGAACAGACTGGGCACTACACAACACACTGAACCTCACACAACCCTTTTCTAGCATTTCATGTTTGTTAACACACAATTTGTTCCAAGAATATAGAAATGAAATTTGGTAGAAATAACATTTTTAAAAAACAACTTTTGGAAGATCTTTAGCATTCTAATGATGATTAGTCAGCATAATTAAAGTCATGTCAATATTTTCAACATCTTCCTTGACACGTAGTTAAAACTGATCTGTTTCCAAAAATTGTATTACTTTTTTGCTATCAACGATAGGCTGAATTTTGTAGCTCTCCTTTATAGATAATCAACTCTAAGGGTTCCACTCCCCCTTTCCTCCTCTTTTTGTGCCTTCCCCACAGTCCCTTTTCTAGACAGTGCTTTTAATGTAACATGTGCCCCTTCAGGTATATTCCCAACTTTTTTATTTCACGTCATAATTTGACTTTTGATTGCATATGGAAACTTAGGTTAAAAAAAATCCTTTCCATTTTTGGATAGTAAATTTCCTGACTTATTTTATAGCCCAAAGTAAAAATGACTGATGATTGTTTAATTCATTTTGTGCTACTTTGTAATGAGGCACTTTATAATAAGGTAAAGAGAGAAGCCCCATATTCAGGAACAGATAAAATATTTTAATTACTAACAACTTAAAATATTTTATAACTATGGCATAACATTTTGGCATAAATTTCCTTTGTTCCAGAAAAGATCAGTAATAAAATTACAGAAACTTTTAATATTTCATTTCTTATTTCAAATTATTTGGAAGACATTTCAGAAGCAGTTGGGAAACGTTAAATTATTCTGTATGCCTGCTTCTCCAAGTTTTCATCCACACCAACTTGACTAGACGTAAACCAGCGTCACCAAAGCACACTGCACATGCACCCACGCGGATCCCTTCCTTGCGTTTAGATGCGACATGCATCTACAGGTTCCGAGCCATTTTCTCATCCCTCCCTCTGTGAAACAGGGAGATAGTTGTGTCTTAGGCAGCGATGGAACATGGACGATGAGAAGAAATGGCTTATAACGGCAGAATTCTTTCTAAAGCTCGGGTGGCCTTACTGGGATCTATCCTGCAGGCAGTGTCGGATCCCTCCGCTTCCCACCCCTGCTGGGAAGATGCACTGAGAAAACATTCGCTCTCCCACGCACGCCTCTTAGTGGTTCCTAGCCCGGGAAAATGTTGCCCCAAGCAGCCCAGCGCTGGTGAAACGCTTTCTCACTGCTCTTTGCTCCCAGCGGGAGCTCCCGCCCTTGCTTGGAGAACTTTGGGGATGTGCCTAGACCAGACACATCGCAGGTCCTAACCAACCCGGAGCGGAACAAACCCTTGGCGGGCGGCCAGGAGACTCCCTTCCAGCCACCGCTCCCCCCGCCAGCTCCGTTTTCCCCCGTACAATACAAGATCTTTCTTCCTCTGTTCCCTTAAATCACAGCCCAGAGAAATCTCGGAGCCTTCGTCCGGCCACCGGCCAGCATGTCTGGGGGCAAATACGTAGACTCGGAGGTAGGCTCGGGCGAGCGCGTGCCGGCCCGGGGCGCGCACGGAGCGGCTGCTTCTGCTATCTGCCTCTCCAAATGCTCCGGCTGCTTTCCTCCCCAGCCCTCTCCCCACTTCGCAGCACTTCTCTCGCGCCGACGCCGCTGAGGAATGGGCCTGGGCGGGGAGGTGGAGGGGAGGCAGCAATAGTTTATGTTCTCCTCGCGGGAAGGAACCCTGCGGGAAAGGCGGTCGGATTCTGAAGTTGGGTCTCCCCGACTGAGGACGAGTTTCTAGATGGGTCCAGGCGCTGCCTCGTTGCGGGACCCGCGGGTGGGAGCTCATTCGCGCGCGGCCGGGGACGGTCGGGCGACTCCCAGCCGGGCGTCCGGCCCCGCTGGCCCCGCGGCGCGCGCTGTTTGCACTTCCCAAAGCTCTTGGGCCACCTCAAGAACTCTTCCTGCATCTCGGCGCCAGGCGGGGTGTTTGAAGAGGGACGGACCTCCCTCCGCCCAACTACCACCACCCCTTCCAACCACCCTCCAGCCCGGGTGCGGAGACGCCGTTTTCCCAAACGCAGCCGCTGTGCCGCCACAGGCCGGCAGCCGGGAAGGGGCCTGAGGGTGGGCCTGGGTAGTCGTGCAGGTGAGATACACTAGGGAGTTAGGGGACCTGACACTTGGCTCCGCCTGGAGGTTGGGGCGTGAGGAACTGTAGCCACCCCGGGGGCTGGGAAAGCTGGGGGGACAAAGAGGGCAGAGAGTGTGGAGGACGCGGACAGGTGCCAGGGAAGCGCTGCCGGGAAGCTACGGAATGGGGGCATTCCATGAGTGCGGGGGCTCAAGTTGAATCTTAAGGATGAAAGTGGAAGAATTATGGAGAGAAGGGGATTAGGTAGGGCCCAGGGATGATGCAGTGGAGTAGGTGAGGCACTCGGGGCGAGAAACAGAGGGGCTGGAGGGAAGTCAGAGGTCGGGTCGCGCGGCCGCGGGGTCCGGGCGGGCCCTTCGGGCGAGGCGGGAGC